TTGAGAGAGAGAGCACGAGCTGGGGAGGGGCAGAGAGAGAGAGAATGACGCAGGTGCCCCCTTCTGCCAGCACAGAGCCCGACTCAGGACTCAAACTCACAAACCTGGAGAGATCATGACCCGAGCCTAAATCAAGAGTTGGACGCTCAACCAACTGAGCCCCCAGGCGCCCCTGTGTCCCCCTTTTTAAGTGATGGTTATAATTTCATGTCACAGGTGACATGGTGGTCACTTTACACATTTCGTGCTGAACTTCAATGGGGTTAACTGGAAAATATTAGAGAAAACGTACTTTTTAACGACCCTACTTAAAAGGGATGATTTGGCAGCTCTAGTGCTATGCTTCCTCTGATGTGTAAGAACATTCTGTAAATTCACGTCTTGTTGCAATTAAAAAACAAAACAAAGTCAAATCACCAAGCACCATGGTTACCACGGGCCTAGGACAGACTTGCATTTTTTTAAGGTTTACTTATTTATTGTGTGTGTGTGTATGAGAGAGAGAGGGGGAGAGAGGCGGGGGGGGGGGGGAGAGAGAGAGAGAGAGAGAGAGAGAGAAAGAGAGAGAGACTGACTGTAAGGGGGAAGGACAGATTGAGAATTGCAAGCAGGCTCCACACCGTTAGGGCAGAGCCCGACAGGGGACTCGAACTCATGAACCGTGAGATCACGACCTGAGCCGAAATCAAGAGTCAGACACTTAACTGCCTGAGCCACCCAGGTGCCCCCAGACCTACTGTATTTTAAGGAACTGTTTGCTCTGAAAATGAATGCATGCATTTATAAAAGAGCCTATACAGTAATGTGAATACTCTTTAGTTATTTCTAGAAGTGATATTAAGCAGATGCTTCGTTCAGTCACAAAGGAAAGTGTGTGTGTGTCTGTTTACACAGAGATGCGGCAAATATGCACACCTAAGTATTTACAAACGTATGCACAGGCTTTCTTTCTCTTTGATTCCCAGGAAGATCAGAGCCAAGTTTTAATGCCAACTGTGTTACCCGGTGCATTCATTTCGCTGCTACGGAACATGCAGCCCAATTACCCTACACTCCCTGCTGAATCTCTTTAACTGCAGCCGTTTCTGCCTGAGTCAAGCCGCCTCCCACCACGGCCTGCATCGGTGACACCTGGGTGACACCTGCCGTCACACCTGCTCGCCTCCCACCTGCCTCGTAAGCCTGGAGGGGGATGGCCCGGAGCTGCGCCAGTGTCCTACAGGTCGGGGGCTATCTTTCCGCAACCCCCTCCCTGGCCCCCGCGCTGTGGCCCCCTCTCTGGGCTGCACCACAGTGACTCCCATTCACTCACTGGGCTGCAAACTCACAGAACGTGAGACGGCCACTGAGCATGCCCTGAGGAACCGGGTTACCTGGGGGTCTGCTCACCATGTTCTGTTGGCACAGCCAATAGAACTGCTGGAATTTCTGGGACATCAGAAGCTGTGCACTCCCCACGGCACTCCGGATCTTCCCGAGAACTGTGAACCAGAAGAAAACCAGCTTGAGACCCGGTCAGTTGAAAAACAGAAGGAGAAGCATTACACAAAGGGAGTAAACTCCAAAAGGTGGGGGCCGCTCCTCCTTTTCCGGAAGATTAAAACCTTGAATTTATTGTGCAGAATATGTCCACTGATGGAAGTTCTTTTCCAATCTGTTCCGTTTCTTTTTTTTCCTTTTTATTTTTATTTATTTATTTATTTATTTATTTATTTTCAACATTTTTTATTTATTTTTGGGACAGAGAGAGACAGAGCATGAACGGGGGAGGGGCAGAGAGAGAGGGAGACACAGAATCGGAAACAGGCTCCAGGCTCCGAGCCATCAGCCCAGAGCCCGACGCGGGGCTCGAACTCACGGACCGCGAGATCATGACCTGGCTGAAGTC